AGCGCTTCCCAAGCACCCAGTGTGTCTCCACCAGGGAGCCTCATCATTTAGTCCTGGCCACTATCATCCACTCCTAGGCAATTGCAGAAGGGCAGAAAGAAAGGCCGGTGTAGGAGATTCCTGACCTGGGCACCTTAGCAAGCTCTCCTGGAGGCTGATGCCACAGCTGGCTGTGGCTGAGGAGGAGAAAGTTGCTGGGTAGATCACCCAGAAGACGTGCCTCAGCTCACGTTTGCCGAGTGCTTACCACGTGCTAGGCCTTGCTATGTTCATGAGTTACGTCTCACAGTCAACAAAACTGTGTTGCCGTAGATGACAGTTAACGCATCATTTTACGAATGAGCAGCCAGAGACTGAGCCAGTTGCTTGGGTCAAAGGCTTCACCCCAGCTGTGTCGAGCCTGTGTTGGTACCACTGTAGCTGCTGTACTGATGTCTGGGCCTGGCTAGCGTGAGGGGAGCCAGTGCTTACCCTCGTCCCCTTTCCCTACCTCCAGTACGCCATTCTGATGACCATGGTACTCACCATCTTCATCAAGTATGTGCTACACTCCGTGGACCTCCAGAGCGAGAACCCCTGGGACAATAAGGCTGTATACATGCTCTACACAGAGCTGTTCACAGGTGACGGGATCCTGGGCCTCTCATGATCTGCACCAGCGTCCCCCAGCATGCCTGCCAGCCCTGCGGCCTGCTGCAATCTACCTTTCCTCCCCAGGCCTTATCAAGGTCCTGTTGTACATGACCTTCATGACCATCATGATCAAGGTGCACACCTTCCCACTCTTTGCCATTAGGCCCATGTACCTGGCCATGAGGTGAGTCCAGCCTTGTCCCTTCACTGTCCCAGACTGATCTCTCCCTCTGTCTTCCTGCGCTCACGGCCTTGTCTCTTCAGGCAGTTCAAGAAAGCTGTGACAGACGCCATCATGTCTCGCCGAGCCATCCGCAATATGAACACACTGTAAGTAGGCTTATCCTGGCTACTCTCCCAAACTCTGTCCTAGATCCCTTTGCTCCCAGTTCTGGTCCTGACATGTGTTCTTCCATCTTAACCAGGTACCCGGATGCCACCCCGGAGGAACTCCAGGCTATGGACAATGTCTGTATCATCTGCCGAGAAGAAATGGTGACTGGCGCTAAGAGACTGCCCTGCAACCACATCTTTCATACCAGGTGGGAGAGGGCCCGGGGGACCTGTATCTTGAGTATAGGCTCCGGGGGACCTGCTCACCACTGCCTGCTCTTACTCCCAGCTGCCTGCGCTCCTGGTTCCAGCGACAGCAGACCTGCCCTACATGTCGTATGGATGTCCTGCGGGCATCGTTGCCAGCCCAGTCACCACCCCCCCCTGAGCCTGCTGACCAAGGACCACCCCCTGCCCCTCATCCCCCACAGCTGCTGCCACAGCCCCCAAATTGTAAGTGGTCTTTCGTTTGCCCTCAGAGAATGACCTTCCTTTGCCTTCGGGTACTTGCCCTGGGTCGAGTACCAACAATGCTGGGGGATCCAAAATGTCTGCCTTCTAGAAGCTCATGCTAGGCAGGAAGGGATGAGAAGATGAGAAATAGCCAAGTGATCGATGGTGAGCAGGGCCCGCAGAAGTGGAAGACAGCTCCTGTTAGCCAGGGCTCTGCCTGGGCGTGGAAACTGTCCGCACGCCTGTCTTCTCACTACCGTTCCTTCTCTGCAGTCCCCCAGGGCCTCTTGCCTCCTTTTCCTCCAGGCATGTTCCCGCTGTGGCCCCCAATGGGCCCCTTTCCACCTGTCCCACCTCCCCCAAGCTCAGGAGAAGCTGCCGCCCCTCCGTCCACCAGCGCAGGTAAGTTTTGCCAGGGCAGCTGGGTAGCAGGCAGCCCTGGAGACCCAGAGCACAAAATCTGACTTTGATTCTGTGCTTCTGCCAGCTGTTTCTCGGCCCAGTGGAGCAGCTGCCACCACAGCTGCTGGCGCCAGTACCTCTGCCCCAGCATCTGGCTCTGTACCTGGCCCAGAGGCTGGTCCTGCCCCTGGCTTCCCCTTCCCTCCTCCTTGGATGGGTATGCCTCTGCCTCCACCTTTTGGTAAGTTGGTCCCTCTCTGGGATGTTGGGGTAGAGATCAGGAAGCTCAGACTGACCTCTGCCTCTTGGCAGCCTTTCCCCCGATGCCTGTGCCCCCTGCGGGCTTTGCCGGCCTGACCCCAGAGGAGCTGCGGGCACTGGAGGGCCATGAGCGGCAGCACCTGGAGGCCCGGCTGCAGAGTCTGCGTAACATACATACGCTCCTGGACGCTGCCATGCTACAGATCAACCAGTACCTCACTGTGCTGGCGTCCTTGGGGTATGCATGCCAGATTCTAGTAGAGCTTCTAAAAGGTCCCCTGTAGCCTTTTACGTGTGTCTTCCCCTGTACCCTCGGACCACCTGTACAGGTGTGTCTGGGGGCTCTGGCCATACCTGGTGCTTTCATCCTTCATCCCAACAAATGCACCCACAGCTGTGTAGGATCAACTTATCAGTGAGCGGACTCTAAAATCTACTACTCTAAGTTCAAATAAATTCCTGATGTTCGCCACTGTAGCTCATCCATCACCTTACACACTCCTGACACTGAGGGAGCAGATAACAGGAAGTTACTTGAAGCCAGCCTGTCCCCATATTCAAGTGCTAATATCACTTGCATGCTTTAAGACCTTTACATTGGAATAAAATCAAATTCCTAGTCATGGGTGCAAAGGGCTGGGAGAAAGCTGTATTCGAAGGTGTGAGCACTCTGGAGTTACTCAGTAAACACCCTCTGAGGTGCCCACCTCTCAGTAGAGACTAAAGAGAAACTGGTGCCAGCTCTCTGCAAGTAACATGCAGTCTGTGCAGCTCAATCACTTGACCCTTGAGTTGCTCCACCTGAGAATTCAATGCACATAGGTTCACTTGTGCCTGCTGTTCACAAGGGTTCAAGAACAGCTTGCCTTAGAGCTTGCCTCCAGGCTCATGGTGATGGGGATCCAGGGGAGGGGGGGAGTAGGAGAATCTGTCCGACCCAAGATACCAAGGTCAAACCTCTTGTACCTTCTCTTGCCAGGCCACCCAGGCCAGCTACTTCAGTGAACCCCACTGAAGAGACTGCTTCTACAGTGGCACCTGCTTCCCCTTCTACCAGCGTCCCCAGCTCTGAGGTCCCTACCCCATCCCCAGGAGCCTCCCAACCAGTCCCTGAAGCTGAAAAGCCTCCTGGTAGGTGTGAGTGACCCTTCGGGTGGGGATGAAGGGTTCTCTGGTTTCATTCTTGACTTCTCTCCCCAGCTCCTGAGTCAGTAGGAGCCGCAGAGGAGCTTCCTGAGGACGGAGAGCCTGATGCTGCAGAACTCCGCCGGCGTCGCCTGCAAAAGCTGGAGTCCCCTGTTGCCCACTGACACTGCCCAGACCTGGCCCTGCTCTCAAGTGGCCCTCAATGGAACACGTCCTGCCACCAAGTGCCAGCTCCCTCTCTGCCTGCACCAGGGAGTAATAACCCCAGCTGAGAGAAGTGGCAGGATCTTTGAGGCCGAGGAGGAGTGGCCGGGTTCCCAGCTGATCCGTCCTCAGCACTCCTGGCGGCCCTGGGGATATTGGTCAGCTCTAACCTTCCTCCTCCACTTCTGCCATGTTCATGTTCTACTGGGGCCTTGAAAGAAGCTGAACCTCTGAGAAGCCCTCTCTCTCATGCTTTCTGGGAGAAGGTGAAGCCCCTCCAAGCCCGTGGGACCATGCTGCAGTGCCGAACAGTATTAGCTTCTGTTCCCTAGTGTGGAAACCCAGAGGGGCTGAAGACAGACCAGGACATTGCCCCACTCTCCTGCCAAGACTGGTACCAGTCTCCTTCCTCTACCCGGTCCTCCCAGAAACCCCTTTGTGATGGTGGCTGTGCCCCCTAAGCCCTGTGGCATTTCCATGTCTTACTGGCAACCATACAACTCAGGGAAAGGAATGCCTGGGGGTGGGGGACAGGCGGGCAGCACCGAGGGACCCTGCCCTGCCCCTCCCAGGCTCTTTCCCCATCTCACCCAGCAGCCACTGCCTGGTGGGCCTGGCTGAGGGTGTGTGCTGCTCCCTAACCACTGCTTCCCAGAACTTAAGGCAGGCCACCTCCAACCTGTGGGACCCGAGTTCAGGATTGGGACTGTTTCTGTACCTAGTGGCTTTTGGCTTAAATTTTGTCTTTTGAATTTGAATGCTTGACCCCAGGAAGGAAGAGCCGGCGTGGGGCTAGGTGCCCAGACTTTCCAGTTTAGAACAGGCTCTGGGCCAGGCAGAGACCATGGAGCCAAGGCCTAGCTGCTTCTTTCTTCCTTCGGTTTTGTGTTACAGGAGTTTGTGGAGACAGTTTCAGATGACTATTTAATTTGTAAATATTGTACAAATTTTAATAGCTTAAATTGTATATACAGCCAAATAAAAACTTGCATTAATGACTGGTAGGACCTGTAACCTAGGACCAGGGTTGGGCTCCTTTTCCTTGCCCGGCCTGTAGGTTTAGGAATGGGGCTCTCCTAGAACAAGGATGCTGAGGTTATTGAACTAGACTTAGCACTGGGAGGTTGGCACCTCTTCCTTAGGTCTGAGGACAACCAGGGTAGCCAGGTTCTTAAACACTGCTTAGCCAGTTTAATGTGAGCTGATGACAGGATGGGTGGCAAGAGTGAAAAGTCTACATTTTTTTTTTCTTTGTCTTCAAACCCCTGTAGTTGATTCCAGGTCAGCAGGCCGATTCCCTAACCCTACCTAGTACAGCACTCGGAACCTAGGATATTCTTTTTTCTGCCTTGTCTATTCCAATCCATGTCATTGCCCCTGTTATCTGTGTTACCTGTTTTCCTTATCCACCAGGCCCAGTCTAGCTTATAGTAAAGCTTCAGAAGGTCAAGGACGGGTGTCCTTGATGGGTCTGTCCTATGAAGGTCCCAGAACAGAGTTGGTGATTGCTTCCAGAATGGCTGACCCAAAGAAACGCACAACAGTGTATACAGGGACAACAGCTAATGTTGTCTCCCTTGCTAGTGTGCCTAGTGTGCCTTTTGCTTGTGGATGCTGATGCTGGGCAGCTCTCCCCATGTGGACGCTTAACACATAGAGGCCTTTTTCCCCTTTATGAAAGCAAAACCTTATCTCAAAGCCCTAGGTACTACATCCCATTCCAGAGACTCCAAATCCACTTCCTCTCTGGATGCCAGTCTGTGGAGAGCGCTGCCTCATGGGCTGATCATCATTCAGAAGCCTTTCTCAAGAAGCCAGGCTTTAAGCTGCTCATCAAAGTAGCCTTTGATTCGAAGAGTACCTGTCACCTCATTAACCTGGGTGAGAGGTGTCTTTCCCAGCAGTGGGCTCAAAAATTCTTCCACATCCTTCTGTAGAGCCTGAGGAAAGATAAGCTCCAGTCAACAGTTTCTAATTACAAGGTCCCTTCCCTTCAGCACTGGAAGGACCAGTACAGACCCAGGCCACTTACCCAGATGTCCCCTTCCACCTTCCGAATCACGGTCATCTGTCGGTTGCCATGCGTGAGGTCCTTATAGACAGGGATGTTGTGCATGCGGGAACGCCGAACAAAGTAGGGCAAGCTGGGAGGGGGATCTATAAAGGTGTGCAGTGTAAGAAACCAGTGTAACCCAAGTCTCAGCTCACCAAAACCAAGGCTTTTCCCCTCAAAAAAACTGCAAAGGGTTGTTTTTGTTGCTACTTTGAGGCAGACAAGGTCTCAAACTCTTTATGTAGCTAAGACCTTGACTTTGTAATCCTGTTTCCACCTTCCAAGTGCTAGGATTACAGGCTTTTACTGCACCTGCATTAGAGTCATTAAATCATACTGAACAAGACTGCCTCCAGACTTCAGGTCAGGACCTCTCTTCTCTCCTTCAGTTTATAGAGTCTAGACTGAATTTTCACCTTGGTATTGTAGAGCCCCAAATAGACCTGTTACCATTTAAGTGCTCAAGAAGAAATGAAGAAGCCAGGTGTGGTGACACACAATTGTAATCCCAGCACTCGGGGAGGCAGAGGCAGGCGAATCTCTTATGAGTTGTAGGCTAGCTTGGTCTACAAAGCAAGTCCAGGACAGCCAAGGCTACACAGATACAGAGAAACTCTAATAAAACAAGAAACAAAACAACAAAAAAGAAATGCAGAGCTGGGCACGACTGTTCATGCCTAGAAGAAGGCTAGTATAACTGGTTTGGACAACATGAGACACTGTCTCAAAAAGAAAAGCCAGAAGCTGGGTGTAGTAGTGCACATCTTTAATCCCAGTGCTCTAGGAGGCAGAGGTAGGTAGGTGGTTGTAAGTTCGAGGCCAACCTGGACTACAACGTGAGTTCCAGAACAGCCAAGGCTACACAGAGAAACCCTGTCTCCAAACAAATGTTGGGCATGGAGGCACATTCCTTTAATCCCAGCAGAGAAAGGCAGGTGGATTTCTGAGTCTGGAGCCAGTCTGCTCTACAAAGTAAATCCAGGCTGGCCAGGGTTATAAAACTAGGCCATTCCTCAAAAACATAACAATTTATTAGTGTATCTCCCTGGATCTTTGGGGATGCCACCTCTGGGACTATTCTCCTTTCCATCGACTCAGCGAGGCTGACAATGGCCAGTCATCTCGAGGGTGTGATTTCTTTGAGACAAATTCTGTCTGTAGCTCCAGCTGACCTAAACTTTGTACTGGCAGTGCGATTTCACAAACGTGACCACACGCTGCACTATGTACTAAGGTTTTGCACGCTGAGGAGATTATGCCCACTTTGATGAATCTGACGTTAGGAGAAGCTAAATGACTAATTAACGAAGTCACACCAACAGTGAAGGACAAAATTCAAACCATGACTGCCTGTTTGCTAACCTGCAATCTCTATTATACACAGTCAGTTGGCCAGAGAGGAGAGAAATCCAAACACATGGACTTTTTTTCTCTATGCTTTTTCACCACAAGGGAAGACTTCACCCCATTAAAATAGGGTTCTGCTCTTCGGCCCTTCCCTGAGGATGACACAATACTAAACATCTCAACAGCACTCCTAAGCCCACTGGAAAGTCCAAAGCCTCAGCTGGGGCAAAGGACCTTCCTCCTCTGCAGCCTTCAAACTATCCCCATCACTCAACTCACCTGTAGGAGGCTGCCAGCCACTGGGAGTGGGATAATGCTTATGCTTTGGTGGCTCTGGGATTTTGGTAGGGGGAAGCAGGCGCTCCACAAACTGGAATTCGTCCACAGACTCCACAAAGCTGGGCTTATCAGGAGACCCCTGGGTCTGGCTCTAACGAAAACAAACCATCTTTCCATTAGTTTACCCAACACTGAAGAACTTCAGGTGAGAACCAGACAGAAAGAACGGCGTAAGTAAAAGACCTCAACTGGGAAAGCACCAGACTTCGGGGTTTCCAGCGTGCAGGATACCAGGGGGGTCTGAAAAAACAGCTCAAACGGTCTGAATCCCAAGATGTCTCCAGGACTCAAATGACAAACGTGCATATTCCTGAAAAGTCAATTCATCTTAAGACTGACCAATGGAGTATTCTTCAGTGTGTCTCTCTGCACACGGTGTGGAAACTCTTTAGCTCCGTATGAGGTGCTTGAGCTGACCAGGCACCGAGCCTGGACGTGCGGCTGCTATAGGTCCTAACCAACTCGAGCTATGCGGCAGCCACCTGCCCTCTCCTCCCCTCGACACAAATGTCAAAAGGAATCTACAAGAAAACTAAGGCCTCGTGAGGGAATACAAAGTCCAGGGCTGTCATAAGTAACAGTGAGGCTCACACACAGCCTGTTGCCCTCAGCTCTAAGCTCTCACCAGCTGCCGGCTCCTGCAGCTCCACCGGACGCAGCTCCTCCAATCCCGCAGAGCAGCTCGAAACACAGCGGCCGCCATCTTGGCTTGCCCAACCGAGCGTCATCTGCGCGCGCAACCGGCCCCGCCCCCTCCTGCGCACGCTACCCACGAGGAACGAACGCCTGCGTAAAGCGTAAGGGGCGGGCTAAGACGGCGGTGGGCGGTACAAACACCAGCCATCCGCGCGGTCGCGCAGCAGTGACGTAACACGCAGCAGGCGGTGAGGACGTGCGCGGCCCAGCCTCTTCCTCTTTCTTGACTCCATCTTCGCGGTAGCAGCAGTGGTGTCCGCGAGTTAGGTGAGACGTGGGGGACGGCTAGGCCTGGAGCGCTCGGTAACAAGCCGTGTGCGGGCTCAAAGGATGTGGGGTAGGCAATGGACAAGGACCGTTTTGCGGGCCTTGTCTCCGCCTTCGTCCAGATCCCTAGCGTGCCCAGCATGTGAGAAGGCGCAATGGCCTGCCTCTCTTCCCCATCCCCTGACCTCTTTTTCTCCTGGGTCGTTTCTTTCCTTCTCTCAAAAACCTTTCTTCCTTCAGTCGCCAACATGCAGCTCTTTGTCCGCGCCCAGGAGCTACACACCCTCGAGGTGACCGGCCAGGAGACGGTCGCCCAAATCAAAGTAAGTGTGTGATGCTCCACCCAACTGCTCCTGTATCCCCAGGCCTGCGGGGAACATTTGTCTACGTTTAAACATCGTGGGGGTTGGTTTGTTTGTTTGTTTTTGCCTGTAGGCTCATGTGGCCTTATTGGAAGGCATTGCCCCCGAAGATCAAGTCGTGCTTCTGGCAGGCTCGCCGCTGGAGGATGAGGCCACCCTAGGCCAGTGTGGGGTAGAGGCCCTGACCACTCTGGAAGTAGCTGGCCGCATGCTGGGAGGTGAGTGCTGTTTTCACTGTAAACTAATGAAAAACCGTTAATAGCTTGTGACAGCTCGTTTCTCACTGGTGCCTTCTAGGATCTTTAGTTCACAGTCTCTAACCACAGGTTCTCAGTGTCCCCATTAAAATGTGAAACGTAGCGGTAGCACACCTTTAATTCCAGCACTTGACAGGCAGAGGCAGGCTGAGCAAGACCAACCAGGGCTACACAGAGAAACCCTGCCGGGAGGGGTGGAGTTATATGTATGACATCTATATCTATCTATCTATCTATCTATCTATCTATCTATCTATCTATCTAT